CATAAAAAAAACTTATTAATAATGTTTTTTATTAATTTACACAAGCGTTTATGTAAACAATAACTATAATTAATTTTATGGTTTTATTTAAAGCCTTTGCGTAAAATAAAAAACTAAAGAAAAGATCAACGATTAAAAGATATTTATAACAACACTTTTTTATTGCATTCAAATTGTTAAAACGTCAAAATAGCCGTGGTCAAGTTGTAAAGAAATAACAATATTAGCGTGGTCAGTTACAGAGTGCGATCGCACGCCATTCCTGTCCAAGCCTGATCTATATATAAGTAAAGATATAACTATAAACTAAGCTATTCTCATTACTTTGATTGTTTTTTGTTGAATTGTTTGGGACATTTGTATGTAAATATAATTTCATTTTCCCTTCAAATGGGAATATTAAATGGAGTATAAGATTCAATTGATTGCTCATTTTTTTTGCCTGTTAGTTAGACTATTTTTTAGTTTCTAATTCCAAAATATGTCGATGATATCATTTGAAGCATTTAATACCTTTGCTTAAGTTCTTAGCTGATAAGTTAGATTTATTTCGACCTTAGTCATGTCGACGTTAAAAAAAATGTATTCTTGAGTTTATTTATATTATGATATGCATTTTTCAACCTCATATTTCTGATAGATCTGGTTTACCTTCTTATTTAGATATCAATATTTTTTTAACTTTTTTATCTTCTGAGTTAATTAAAGACATAACTTTATTTACTTCATTATAATCATACTTTAAATAAGAAAAATGAGAACTGGATTTTCATAAAGAAATATGTGATGATGAAATTAGTTCATCGTTTTCAACTTCATTTAAATTATTTTTTGATTCTAATTCAGAAAGTTCTAAACTAATTTCATCATCACATATTTCTTTATGAAAATCCAGTTCTCATTTTTCTTATTTAAAGTATAAATTACAGCCAGATGAATAGCATGATTCATGCATTGCATGTGGTTAGCTAGGCTTTCATTCCTGAACTTACACTTGTACCTTCAGTTGTTGATGTAACCTTCAGTAACTTTTTTCAAAAGTGATTCCATTCTTATAAATTTAGTATAATAGATTCTACTGGTTAATTTGTTGATTTTATTTGCATACATTGCTATTAAAAAACAATGAAAATTTAACAAGCTTCTAATCTAAAGAACTGGGATAAGATGAGGAACCTTTTACTTTTAAAAATTTTTAAAAAGCATATAATAAATTTTTAATAAAGAGTCCATTTAACCATCGTTTTCTGGTAAACTAAATTTTGAAGCTCTATGGCAGCCCAAATCTCAATTATTTGAACTAGCCCAAGATTTAAAAAAAAACTTATCCATTTTTAACATCTTTTTTAACATTAAAATATTGTTTGCATTAAAATAAGGCTTTTTCACTCATTGAGAGTTAAATTTTTCACCAATGTTTAGTTTTATACTTATAATTAAAATTATTTTTTTCCTGTGTTTCAAAATGTTGTGTCAGTACACAGCAATGATATTGTCTGGTGTTTCAAAATTTTATACCATAGTTCAATAGCCTAGGACAGTGAAAAAGCTAATATCATTAGCTTTTTCACTGTCCTCATGAACATCCTCAAGAAGTAAATCATTGCCTGATTAAAACTTTAAACTTGTTACTGGTAGTGCTAGTCTATCAATAAAAAATCTTCCTTGATTCTTAATGATTTAAAATTTTTAATCCGAGTGAAGCACCAAAGATTTGTTTTTCATTGTTTTCATAACTATTACAGATTTTACAACCTAAACAATTTATTATCTTAAAACAATTTAATAATCTCATCAATCAGCAATCTAAAAGAGATTATTACAGTCTAATAACTAAAGTATTACAGTATTTTTAACATTATAATTTGTTACCTTCAGAAGTAGTTTGTATCTGCTTCTTCTGATTGACTCTCTGCTTATTGTTAACTCTGTGTTATGTCCTTCAAAATATTAAAGGGATCCCAAACTCCCAACACATGTTGTGTTCATATTAAAGATAATGTTAAAAAAAAAGGTTTGAACCAAATTTTTTTGATTAAAAATAAATAATGAATGCATACCATGAAAAACAAATGTTGTAGTTTTTGCCGAAGCTCGTCTTTTCCATTTTTTTCAACTACTCAGAGTCTTCAAATTATGCGTCGCAATCTACAGACTTTGGCAATTCCTTTGAAGCGCGTTTAATTCATAAAAGTTTTAGTATTTGACGTCACGGTAGACTTTTAACAAAAGAAAAGTGTAATTAAACTAAGCTGCGTTTTTTTACTATAGTATTTTTTTAACATACAGCAAAACAAATTTATTTGTATTATTTTTCCAAACATCGCAAAAAAAATTTTGAAAAAAGTAAAAACAATAAATTATTTTTATTTTATAGGAGCAACTTATTTTTTACAGATATCTTAATAATTTTTAGATTTATATATCTTACTTAAATTTCTTTAATTATTTAAATTAAAACAAATATTAAAGCTTTACTTACCAATCTCATGATTTTCATACGAGTATTTTACATTCTATAGAACGTGTTATATACGGTCTCTTGTTTTTGCGCAAGAGAGCGCGGTATTATATATTCTGATTCTTAATTATTTTTATTTAAACAATGGGAACTATTTTCTAACTTCTCTGGTTATTTTTACGCTATGACAATTTTTTGTTTTCCCGATGAAAAAAAGTATTTATTAACAATTACTTTCATAAACTGACAGTATTAATTAGAGATATTTAATGAATTATTAACTTTTTTTATTATAAAATTTTTTTGATCACGCTGATTTAATTTAAATTGCTAAATTTGCTGAATTGGATACGGATAAAAAGGAAATACCATTTTATTTTACATTTGATTTTTGATAATGAAATTTTTAAAATGTCAGCAACTCCATACCAATTAGAACCTGTTAAGATTATGAAAAAAAAGTACAAAAATACACTAAACAATACAGTTGACAGTAGTATCAGATAGGAAAATTCGTGAAAGGATATGTGAGATCCTGATTTTGCATTAAAAGTACAGTTAATTGCAACACAAGTCGGCATTATAAATTTTGATTATAAGTTTACTGTTCAATATTTTATAACCATCAAATAAAAAACATGAAGTTTGTATATTTTTGCCCGTTTTATACAACTAATATTTAACAAAAATACGGACAAATTATTATTAAATAACGCAATAATTAACACATTAATTAAAGGCAATAATTCAAGGTAGATGGTAATTTAAATTGTTAAAATGTCATAACGCGCATTAAAAAACATTATACTTGGTATTTCCAAATTTATGTCATAATTGGCATTTGTCTCTTAACATAAAAAATTAAAAATTTTTAAAAACACAATTAACAAATACAAATTTTCAAGTAATTTTCTCTTCCGATTCTCATTTATTCAAAGAAAATTTACTATTAAACTTTTATTTCTCTCATCTAAAAAAAGAACGAATGACGCAAAAAAAGTATATATTCTATACAACTCTTATTCATTCAAAGTTTAATTGCGCGAAACTTTTCTTTCTCTTTTGTTCTACTCTTTTATAAAAAGAGCGCCCGATGAAATAAAACTTTTCTTTTTTAACATATAATTATAGTTTGAGATAAAATAAAATTAGAAATAAATCAACAATGAGCAAAGCAACCAACAGATTAATCTGGAACTATTTTGATATTTATGAAAATAATCAACATAAACAACATTACCAACAACAGTTATCAAATAAACAACACAATCTCACATAATTTTAGGGGCATTTTATTTTTATTGCTTAGTCATTCTAAATAATAAGTAAATTTAGTTCAAGTTAATAATTCAATATTTACAGTTGCAATATAATAAAGAAATGGTGTTTAATACTGAACTTTTTATTTAGTTATTTATTTTTTTACCTACATTTGTTATAAAAAACTTTAGAACCCCCGTCATTAAAATAATTTGTTTTAAATATATTTCGACGTGATTATTCAAACTTATTTTTTTCATTTGACTTTCCGAACTTCATGCAAAGCAAATTGAAACGAAATATCGTCTAACCAAATAAAAAAGCTGTTACTAATTTTATACGGGTAATTAATGTAAAACGATTTTTGAGATAAAAATTTTGAGATAAATATTCATAATTTATAAACATTAAATATATGGCGCAATAACAATTTATAGCAACAAACCAGCATAAAATATTTAAGGTTTTATATATCTTTTTAAATATTAAAAGTAGAAAAAAAAACTAAACAAATAACCAAAAAAACTTCGACTAAAAATAAATAAAAATATTTCCAGAGTTTCTTTTGTTAAAAGTCTACCGTGACGTCAAATACTAAAACTTTTATGAATTAAACGCGCTTCAAAGGAATTGCCAAAGTCTGTAGATTGCGACGCATAATTTGAAGACTCCGAGTAGTTGAAAAAAATGGAAAAGACGAGCTTCGGCAAAAACTACAACATTTGTTTTTCATGGTATGCATTCATTATTTATTTTTAATCAAAAAAATTTGGTTCAAACCTTTTTTTTTAACATTATCTTTAATATGAACACAACATGTGTTGGGAGTTTGGGATCCCTTTAACAATGCTAAAGATAAACAGAAGTTGATCTCTTATACTAATACCAGCTTTCATACATGTTTGTGTCGTTGCTGCAATCAAACTCTCTTTAGCGATCTCCTTGTTTACATTAAAAGGCTGAGGGACCAAACCTATGTCTTGATTTAGGTCTATCAGATTTATCAGCCAAAGTTGGTTAATTGCTAAAGTCTCAGTGATAATCTTCTCAATCAGGGTACTTTCTTTCTCTCTTTTATGACATAATATTAAAGATGGGGGAGAGATGGGTGTTACTTGAAAAATATTGACCCGGAAATATAAAATACTGAAAAACAGTAAAAAAAATAAAAACAGTAAAAGTTTTGAGTTAAACCTAAAAAGTAAAAACTCAAGGTTTTTAAAAATATTTATTTGGAAATAAAATTAGTTACCAGTATTTTTTGTTCTATTTATTTTAGGTTCCAACATTTCGTCATGGAAGTATAATACTTAACGAATCTAAAGGAATTTGTCATTATCTTGAAGTTAGTTTAAGTTTTACTATTATTTATGATCTTTAAGTTGTTTATTTTCATTTAAATGAGTTTTAAGAGTAGATAACAATTTATAATAAAATGTTCAAACCTTTCAAGAAAGGATTCTTTAACACTTTTTATTGGTAGCATTTTTGTTGTTGTTGTTGTTGCTTAAATCGAATATTTGCATAAATTTTAAAAGTTTATGCAAATATTTGAAAATTAGAAAACTTTAATAAATACAGAGCTGATGCATTTACATCTGTAAAAATATAAGTATCAATGTTTTAGTTAAATTATATAATAATTTTTTCCAGTGATAAATTCATAAACATTATTTATTGTTTATATAATATATAAACAATATAACAATATAATATTGTTATAGATTTACAATATATAACATTTTAGGGGTGTACACAGTGGCTCAGATTCATTTTTAATGGACAAAATTAATAACTAATTAAATATTAGGTCTTTATTTACTAAATTTGGCATGAATACTAATATGAGGTCTGCGCTTCTTATGAAAGTGATATTTTTTATATTTGGTTGCTATGGATACCTAATTTTGAAATAAAACATTGACAATTTGAAACACATTAACAATTAATAAAACATACATACATGCATAATATAACAAAATCATATTTTGGGTGAGTCAACAGTCGGACTCTGAAGCAAATCACTAAACTCCTTCTGGAAGTTGAAAAAAGCTAAGTTAGCCACAGATCAGTATAGAAATAATATTAACAAATAGACTTACCTCAAGGCAGTACTTTTAAAATGCATCTGCATTAATTGGCAGAGCTGATGTCAATGTGGCCAAGATGACATGCAACTTTTTCAGCAGTAGTACATCTAGCTTTAAAATCTCAGCCACAATACTTTAAATTTGCCACATTTAAATAATGAATTGAAATTTTTATGTTATGCCTATTCTTTTATTCATTTAATAGAATAAAAACAACTTAAAATAACTATGGTTATGCATCCATAACTAAGGTTGTTAGCAACAACCTTAGCATCCATAACTATGGCTAAATATTACCTTTTAAATGTTAAAATGTAATTAAATAGCAATCAACACTGTTGTTATGCAAAAATAATTTTAAAAGTTAGGCATCCATTGCAATCAATTAAAACTATGACTTCCATAAGAAGTGTAAATCTCATTTTAATACACATATTTAATAAAGTGTACATAGCACGAATAAAAATAAGTTGTTGCTATGTAAAATTTGGTACCATAGCAATCAAATTGTACTCAATATGTAGTTGTACTCAATATGTAGTATATGTACCAATCAAATTGTACTCAATATGTAGCTCAAATACGTCTGTCTACGTCCATAAAACCAAGTGTGTTGACTTCCTTACATGTTAAAGAACAGTTTATGACCATTCATTTGCTGCCCTAACCTGCCCCAAAAAAGATATAATAAAAAAATAATATATTTTATCATAATAATAAATTTGTCATATTTAAGTAATAAAATTAAACTTTTGTATTTTAATATTCATTTATTACACTTAAAATGACATTAACATCCATAACTGTGGTTAAGTATTACTTTTTAAATAATAAATTGTAATAAAATAGCAATCAGTACTGTTGTTATGCAAAAATAGTTAAATAAAAATGTGTAACAATGTAAACAAAATTATAAAAAAATTGTAAACTTTGCACCAAATTATTATAAAGCTGTTGTGAAAAGATGATTAAGAATTATTTAACAACAAATGTAATAAAATAATTTCAGAACTTTAATTAGATATATATATAGAACATAGTATATGATTTTCAAACAGATTGGATCATGTCAAAATTTTGACTTTAGTCCATAGCTGGCCCACTGTGGTGTGGTGGCTTTAAAAAGTCCATGCAGATTTTTGTTAAAATATGTAGGATTTTACCATACATGTTTGATGGAAAAGCATATATTGTAATATATAAATATACATATGTGTGGTGATTATAAATATATATATATATATATATATATATATATATATATATATATATATATATATATATATATATATATATATATATATATATATATATATATATATATATATATATATATATATATATATATATATATATATATATAAAGGGTGTTACCCAGGAAAAAATTTCCTACAGCGTTTTTGCAAAATTGGGAATTTAGGTGGGGCTAAAAAAAAAAAAAAAAAAAAAAGTTTCTTACATTCTACAATTAAATTTTAATCAAAATAATTTTTCTATTTTTGCTAGGAATTACATTTACAGCAGGATTATTTTTCTACTTTATATATGTTTAATTTTAATTAATGAACTTGTTTCATTATGAGCAATTTTCTAAAATTTTTATTTAAATCGCTTCTTTTCTTTGTTTTTGATATACTGAAGCTGTTTTTCAAAACGCCCTTCGCCCTGTTTTTCAAAACGTATTTCGAGAAAAGCGCAATTATAATCTGAACTCGAGAATAAGTGGCGTCAATAAAAATTTTAAAAGAAAGTTTTTTTAAAACTTTGGAAGGAATGACCTTGTTAAGGTTAATGACGCTTGTTAATGACGACACATTTTTACACATAAAAAAAATCGATCCATTTAATTCATTTTTTCGTCATGCATACTAATTTTTACTGGTCTAGCGCGAAACTTTAAATCTAAGACTGACTTTTTTTAAAACTTTTGGGAATTTTAAACCAATTGGGAATACCGCGTTATACGCAATGCCATCAAGCTGGGTAACACCCTGATATATACATATATATATATATATATACACATATATATGTACATTAATATATATATATATATATATATAAATATATATATATATATATATATATTATATATATATATATATATATATATATATATATATATATATATAAATATATTTTAAACCATTCAACTACTCTAGCTTTTCAACTATTTGAATATTAAATAAAAAATTACTCAAGTTATAGTTTTTTTTTTCTTTAATGTCCACCGCCTTGAAAGAACAAAAAAATGTTCCACCAAATGTTGCCAATGTTCCACCGCCTTGAAAGAACAAAAAAAAGAAGTGTAGTGTAACTCTAAAAGATAAAAAGAGAAGCAATGATCTTAGGCAAAGGTTGAAGTGAATCTGAAAGAGTGTGACACATAAGATAAAGGTGGTTTGGGCATGAATGTATATTGAAGAAATATTAAACCTGTGCTAGAGTGGAAACAAAGATGCTAAAATGATGATGATTGTTGATGATTGTTGATGATTGTTGTTGATGATGATGATGATGATGATGATGATATGATGATGATGATGATGATGATGATGATGATGATGATGATGATGATGATGATGATGATGATGATGATGATGATGATGATGATGATGATGATGATGATGATGATGATGATGATGATGATGATGATGATGATGATGATGATGATGATGGTATTTATTATGTGTTTGTATATATGATGCATAGTTATATTTGATGCATATTATATATGATGCATATTATATATGATGCATATTATATATGATGCATATTATATATGATGCATATTATATATGATGCATAGTTATGTACTTTAAATATATTTAGAATCAGTTCAAGAACCATGGCACTAAATTGATTCCTGATGAACCAGGCAAACAAGCAATGGTTCTGCAGCGAATGTATGAGGTAAACTAAATTTGTAGTTTGAATTATAAAAAAGAAAAAACAGTTACTAGTTATTTGAATACAGCCTGTGCCTGTGTTAAATTTTGCTCTTGTAATAAATTATTGTAATTTATTAAATATTTATTAAATATTGTAATCTTACATCTTTATCACAATGTCAAAATTGTGATAAAGATATTTGTTAATGTTTGTAAGTTAATAAAGAAGAAACTTCGAAATATGCTTTGGTTTTTTGTTCAAAGTTTAAAATTTTATTAATTTTATTTAAAATTGGTTTATTTTGCAACTATTTGTAGTTTTAATGGAAAATATTTTAAAAGGTTACATTAATACAAATGTTGTTTTTATAAAATAATTTTTTTTTTTTTTTTTTGTTTCTCAGTAGGGTGTGTCGATTTTCACTTTTTTTTGAAATTTGATTATTTTATTAATTTGAGTTTTTTTTTTTTATGTAAATCAGTATGAAAAGCATGAAAATATTTTTTTTTCTAAAAAAATAATTTAAGCTACTTTTTTTTATCTTGAAACTTTTTTTTTTGAGGACTTAGTTTTTATCTTAGAAAACTGAAATTTTCTGTAATCTCCGAAGAAAGCAGTTATTCACCAAAATCTAAAAAAAAAAATTTTAGACCCTATGCAAAAGAGGAATTTTCAAATTTTAGTTTAATGGACAACACGCTGACAAAAATTAAATTCTAAAATTTCACTCTCCGTTTTGCAAAGTTGTTTATTTTGTTATATTTTTAAAAAGGTTCTCAGTTCTAAAAACTTGATTTTTAATTAATTAAACTAAAGATGTTAAACACCCTCAAAACCAGAAGTAAATCCGCTTGTCAGCTAAGTAAATTGATTGGAAAAGGTTCAGAGTTTCTTCCATTTGAACTCCCAACCTCTCAAGATGTCCTAAAGTATGGATTGTATTTAAGGGAGATAAGTGAAAAAGACCACAGAGACCATACTGTTGATCAGCTTGTTAATAAAATTGTTCTTTTAATTGTAAAAAAATTGTGACAGAAAAGCACATTGAATGTGCTTGTAAAAAAGATCAAAAAATTCCTGTCCTTGAATTAAATTTTGTTAGATATCAAAGAGAAAAAATCGGAACCAAAGGTTTGCTGCAGCTAGGTGGCATTGATCACAGTGAAACTAAGAAGCAAAACAAAAGTTTGAAAAGGTGTTCAATAGAAAATCATGCATCACAAATAAAAAAATTAAAAAAAGACCAAGAAATTTTAAATGAAGAAAATGAAACTAAAATTATCTTACCCGAAAGTGACTCAAACGAAGTCTCTGGTATTTCAAATAATGAAGTACAAATGAATATTTCAGAAAAAAGAAAAGTAAAAGAATATAACACCATGAATATAAAGAATGTAGCATTAGCAAGCTTAAAGCATCATACAGGGTTAAGATAAACTGCAGAAATAGCAACTGCTGCCCTTATCGATGCTAAACTAATCACAGAAGGTACTACTAACTATATTATTGATCATAACAAAGTTAGAATAGCACAAGAAAAAATTGGAAAAGAGTTGACTTCAAAACTCCAAAGTGAACTAAACAATGGTTTGAGTTGCATTCTTTTTGACGGTAGAAAAGATGACACTAAAATCTTTTTTGATGTGGAAGGTAGGAAATTTCCAGGGCTAGTAAAAGAAGAACATTATAGTATGTGCAGTGAACCTGATGAAATTTATTTATTTCACTTTGTTCCTGAAGAATCGAATGTAAGAAAAACCTGCAGAGATAATTGCAAATCATTTAATTAAATGGCTTAAAGAAAGATCTTTGCATTTGACATTGGAAGCCATAGGTTGTAACAGTACCAATATAAATACTGGATGGGCAAGAGGAGAAATACAGTGGGTTGAAAAAAAACTTGTTAGGAAACTTGTATGGATTGTATGTGACCTGGACAACTACACTGTAACTGGACAACACACTGGAGAACTAGGGTTACGAAGTTTAATTAAGTTTCTTGATGGTCATACTAAATTCAGCAATCATTGGTCAGGACCACTTGGTAAGATGCTGAATAATGCTACGAACCTTGAAATTAATCCACAATTTATAAAACTTTGTGAAGTTTCTCCTCTTATCCATCTTGATCCTAAAATTATTAAAGATCTGACTACTGATCAAAGCAGATCTAATAGCAGATAGCTAACTACTACTTTAAGATTTTGCAGAATATGGGTGTCTAATCATTGATTAACAGGTGAGCTTTAAAATAAATTAAGAATGATAGTTGAGTATGTTGTTGGTGTGTATGTTCCTAACTGGTTCAGCATTAAAGTAAAGTCAAGCTGGGTGGAGGGACCAATCAACTTACTTGAACAAATACAATTTCTAAAAAATCAAACTCAGGAGGTAATTGACATTGTTTTACCCACTTTTAAAAAATTCAGCATGGTATGCTCATTCTGAATCAGTGTTGCAAAGTACGCTCTGCAGTCAAGTTGAAGATGAAAGAAGAGAAGCTGTTAATAAAATAGTTGAATTAAGAGGTGCTGGAAATGATGCACTTCAATTCGTAGATTTTAGGATTAGAAAGACTCCCAATATCATCATTGAAACAACCTGTTTGTCTAAACTTATAGGCTGGAGTGACATCACAGAACCGCCTCTAACATGTAATTTATCAACTGAAGCAGTTAAAGAATTTATTAACACTCCAATGAAAGTAACTAAGCGGCCCTCTCATACACAATCTGTTGAAAGATGTGTAAAAATGAATTCTAAAAGTGCTTGTCATGTCTTTGGTCAGGTTAGAAAAGATATATACATTCAAGGTCAGATAGCTAGTAGAGAGCTTATGTCCAGTAATTCTAGTAAAAATGACATGAAACATCTAATTCAGAAAAAATAGTTGGGAGTATTAATTTGTTCACATTTGTAAGAATGAATTTACTTATTTTTTATGAATTTTTTATGAATTTACTTATTTTTTATGAAGTGATTATATATATACAGAGTGCTCAAAAAGTTTGTTGTTTTATCTTTCACCAAACTATTAATCTTTTCAAACTATTAATCTAATTGCCTAACTATTAATCTTTTAAGTTAATGAGCTTGTTTATATATATATATATATATATATATATATATATATATATATATATATATATATATATATATATATATATATTGTTTTTATATATATATATATATATATATATATATATATATATATATATATATATATATATATATATATATATATATATATATATATTGTTTATATATATATATATATATATATATATATACTTTTGTTAAAGTTTAGCTCTGCTGATTTAGTTTTTAAATTTTATATGTGTAATATAATATGTAAAGTAATATAAAGCAAAACAAATAATTTTAACAAAAAATTTGCTTTTGTTCCTAAATTATTGAGTCTTATTAAGCTAATATTGTTTGCAAGAAAGTTTTTGAGTAGTTTTCATTTTTTAATATTAAAAAAATATTAACTTTTTTTTCTTAAAGTATTTAATTTAAATGCAAAGAATTTCTAGTTAAACATGTTTCAAATTTTTTTCATATGAAACTTAATGATTACTCTCAAGTACTTAATACACGGGAGGTGATTAATTTTTATAAAATTTTCTCAGCTTATTAAGACCCACGTTTATTAATTTTTACTTGTTATTAACAAAAAAATGTATTTCAAAACTTTCAGAGTAAACCGGCCTTAAAAATTAAAAAATGTAAACTCATGGATTAAAATAAAATTTTCCTCTCTCCCGATTATAAAAACCCTTCTCCCCTCATTTATAAGATCTGTACAAAAATTCGAAAACACCTCTTTATTCCCATCTTACCTTGTATTAAGCAATTGAGAGTAAATCTTTAAATGAAAAAAAATTTTTTTTTGAAGGCTGATAATATATTTGAGAACGGTTTGGTGTCCATTATGTATTATTACATGCGTACAAAACCTGAGAATATTGATGAAGTGTACATGAATGAAAAGAAAAAAGAGTTGGCGGTTGAGGTTTCTGAAAATATTTTTTGCTTTTTAAAATAAAACAATCAGTTATAACATAAACGAGTTTTTATCACAACTTTAACAATAATTAAATACTTTGTATTTTAAGCTTGAATATTGGGAGAGATATCTTTCTGGGGAGTATCTAGCTGGAAGCGAATTTACCATGGCAGATGTATTTTTTGCGCCATTACTTTGCGTACTTGTTCGTTCTGGTCTTTCTTTAGAGTTTCGTCCTCACTTAAAAGTTTACTACGAAAAGATAATTTTGCGACCATCTATTCAAGCATCATGGCCTCCACACTACAAAACCACTCCTAATACAACCATATTTGTTGGTGTTTAGGCTAGCGACAGACGTTTAATTGACATTTAGCAAATTAATTTTTCAGTTATATTTTTTTTAAGTACTTTCTATAGTATATTTTTTATAAGTACTTTCTATGATATATTTTATATAAGTACTTCTTATAGTATATTTTTGAGTTTTGTTGCGCGCGCGAGCTCGTGTGTAAATCAGAACATCAAGTCAACTTTTTAAATACAAAAAGCAATTTAAAATAAGTTAGGTAGAACAAATAATGAAATTTTTCCTAAGTTTCTACTTAATGAGTATTTTCTGACACAGTTTAATTTTACAATATTTAAATAGCTTGCAGACTTACTAGTTAATTTGTGAGTCGTGCTAGAAATAGTTCATTGAATATTATATTAGAGCGAATTTGTTTTTAATAGAAAAAGATCCAGATAATGATGATATTCGACTTGTATTACGTAGTATGCATGAAATGACTGCGGATTTGAATTCAGCAACCTTGAAATTCTATGAAAGGAAATATTGGGAGCCATGATTATGGCTTCCAATATTTCTTATAATAATAAAAAAAACTACTGGCCATTTTCAACAGACATTCTGAAAATCAAGATGGCTGTTAAAAATGGCCAGTAATTTTTTTTAATTATTAAAGTCACTACCATAGCTTCCAATATTTCTTTTTATATGATTTTGAGTAGACACTAGATAATCGGTATCGTATAAGTCGATACCGAGAAGAATGGTCTCGTATCGTGTGATATCGCTTATGTACCAATGTCGATACTATCAGTATCGCTTCGATACCAAACAATACCGATAATAAAAAGAATCGTATAGTATCGCATGGTCTCGAATCGAGATTCAATAAAACAAAAAAATTAAAATGTGACTTATTGATTTTTTATTTACATATTGTTTTTTTACGATCTACAATGCTTTGGCTATCGTTCATTCGTTGTTTTTTCCTTTGCTGTACTTTTGCTAGTATTTTAGGATTTTCTTTTAATATTTTAATAATTTTGGGGGCATTTACTGAAAATGTTACATCTAAACAATGTCAAATGAGTTAAATAATTTCAAAAATATTACCAAAAAAAAAGACCCTTTGATTGGCCTGAATTTAATTTTTTTGTTTTTTACAGTTATTGGTCAGACATACAACCTGGCGGTCAATTTAGCACAGTGCTTTGAGCGTTCTCCCTAAAAATCAGTCGATTTATGAATTATTACAATTTCATGAATATGTATTTAGGGAAACCACATACTGTAGACTTTTGCCTGCTTTTTTATGCTTACTCGGTTCTTTCCTATTTTTTCGCTGCACGAAAGGAACATCGCCTCCTGCATTAACATTTTAAAGCAGTTAAAGATAGTCAAGATTTTTGTCTCGTTTGTTTTTTACTACTTTTATGACATCTTAAGCGTTTGTAAATTCTTTGACACCTTTAAAATAATCAGTTTTTAAATTCATTATTCATTTTTTTTTTTTTTTTTTCTTAAATTCATTTTCGTTTTTGAGCATTTTCGTTTTTGCGGATTGGGATTGATCTTTACAAATTTTAGAAAATTTTCACTGTATTTTAAATTTTAGAAACATTCACTGTATTTTAAATTTTAGAAACATTCACTGTATTTTAAATTTTAGAAACATTCACTGTATTTTAAATTTTAGAAACATTCACTGTATTTTAAATTTTAGAAACATTCACTGTATTTTAAGGAAAATTTGCAATAAGAAAAAAGCTTTACTTAAAAACAATAGTGGCTTTTTTGTAGCTAATGTTTTTATATTAGTTAATTTTAAAAAAGCTGACTTTATTATTTGTGGCTAAGATTGTGTAGTATTATTCAACATAATTTTTACAAATTTGTTATATTAAATTATTCTATATTATTTTATTATATTTAGTCTATTATTGGTTTCCAAAAGTTTTTTTTAATGCACTCACCTTCTCAAGATTGCGTTTATTGGAAATCAATAAACGCAGTCTTGGGAAGGTTATTAAAGTAAAAAAAAATATGCAGTATAATGTTTGGGCAAAGAAAGATTGTTCCAAAGTAACTGCTTTATATTGAAAATGTTTAACTGGTCTCCAAGGTAATAATATTGTGTTGTTAGAAACTGGTCTCCAAGGTAATAATATTGTGTTGTTAGAAACCTAAAAATAAAACTTCGAGTTATAATAGTTTTTTATTGAACAAATAAAAAACAAACTACAAATTATATAAAGAAAAAATATTGTTTTCTTAACAACTGCAATAAAACATAGGTTTGATGGTTATATAACATTATGTTATTTTGAATAGAGGCTGCATTTTTTCACCATAGAAGATGAGACTAGGAAGTTACCACTGTTGCTTATAAAATATGCTTAAAAATATGCACTGATTCATCTTATTTTAAAGTATTTGGCATCAAAAAAAGTTTATTTAAACAAAGCCAATGACACCTCCAGACACGGAAACTGCAATTATCATGAACCTGGTATTCTAAAAATTAGGTGCCCACCTTCTATTTCTGTTAGAGTTTCTCTAACAAGAATAGAAGGTGGGCAAACTATAAACATTTAGAAAGAAGTAATAATAAAGTTATGCTAAAATGACAAAATAAAGTTTTTTCAAATTCAATGTTAAAAAAAAAATTGTTGAAAAAAGTTTTTTTTTAAATGAAATTTTGATTTTTAATTGAATTTTTAAGTGAAATTATGTGCAAAAAAAAATGCTTTTATGGAAGATTCTTATTTCGATTTACAAATTGAACGTAAAATTAAAATGTTTGAAAGAAATCTAAGGTTCAACAAAACAATACAATCGTTTGTAAAAACTGGATTGAGTATTGATTTATATAAACTGGGATGAATATCAACTAATATAAGCTGGAATGAATATCCACTAACATAAACTTTTAATTAATTGATATTCATCAGTTAATACAAATTTCATTTGTATTAACTGATGAATATTCATCATTGATGAATATTCATCAAACTTTTAAAAAATATGTATATATATATATATATATATATATATATATATATATATATATATATATATATATATATATATATATATTAACATCTTCGCTTTTTTTTAACATCTTCGCATCTTCGGTTGCTGCAAGCAACCACTAATTAGTTTTGGAAGTTACTGGAAGAGAAAAGATGAAGATTGTAGAGCAAGATAACGATTGACAGATGACTTAAAAGATTGCAAATTGTATGAATCAACAAAGCAAGATGAAGGAAGCGAAATCCAAAGAACTGATGTTCGAAGAAAAAAACTAGACGAATAAGAGTTTTTGGAGCACTTAGGAACAGTAACAGAAAAAAGATGAGACTTGATTGAATGACGAGTAACACGAGAATGAATTTTAGTAGATGGCACAAGAAATGCTAGCTCTTTGTAGCAGTGCCCATTATAGTATTTATAGAAAAGAGAGAGAGAAGCAACATTATGACGATGTGACAGAGGTTGAAGGTTAGCTGCAAGAGCAGGTCCAACTATGTTTACAATGCGTTTTTGTACCTTGTTTAAAAAAGAAAGGGCATCATTAGAAGATCCGCCCCAGATATGGCAACAGTATTCCATACAAGGTCGGATTTGAGATTTATAGAGATAGAGAATAGAATCCAGAGTAAGAAAGTGTCGAGCTCGATAAAGAGATGCAACTTTAGCAGATGCTAATTTTGCAACGGATTTGATATATGGTTTCCAAGAAAGATCAGAAGTGAGAGTTAATCCTAGAAGATAAAGAATAGATGACTCATCGAGTACATTACCGTTCATAAATATAGGAAGGTCTGGATTATTGCGATAACGATTGGCTGAAAAAATTTGAGTTTTATCTGAACTAAAGTTCACCAGCCACTGTGAGCCCAATGCTGTAGCAGAAGTGAGATCCTTTTCAAGCTCAAACGCAGCCTGCAAGCAATTGCAATCAGAGGGAGTTGGCTTCTTATCGTGACAAGAATAAATGGTAGTATCATCAGCGAACAATGCCACCTTAGATGTGAGAATATCTGGAAGATCGTTAATGTAAATTAAAATTAATGTAAAGTATAGGGCCAAGGATTGAACCTTGAGGAACCCCTGAGGTTACAGAATAAGAAGAAGAGTGCTGTCCATCAAGGACAACTTTTATACTACGATTGGAAAGGAAGGATTCGATAATCTTAAAGATGTTTCCAGATACACCGTAAGAAGAAAGCTTATGGAGAAGACCAGCATGCCAAACTTTATTAAACGCAGAAATATCAAGAGCAATGGCCTAAACCTCTCCACCTTTATCTAATGCACGATAAAACCTATCGGTTATTACTGTTAGCAAATCAGCCGTAGAACAAGAACATCGAAATCCATATTGATGATCAGAAAGTAGGTTATGAGATTCAAGATGAAAGATTAAGTGTTTGTTAATTAAAGATTCAAAAACCTTGTTTATGATAAGAAGAAGACTAATGAGACGGTAGTTAGATGAATTGGATTGCTCTCCAGAATTTTTAAAAATAGGAATAACAGATGCTGCTTTCCAGCAGGCTGGAAAACAAGACTCTGATAAGCACTTGTTAAATAGTTTTGAAAGGATAGACGACAGCTCCGGAGAACACTTCTGCAAGACTATAACAGGTATGTTGTCCGGGCTGCAAGCTGTAGAAGAGTCTAAGCAGGAAATCATTTCATATACAGAAGCTGGAGTGATATGGATGTCGAGCAATGTTCAACCTGTTTGACGGCTATATCAGGTAGAGCGCAACTAATGGAGTCAAGAGATGATGTTGATGAAAAGTTTTTAGCAAACAATTCAGCTTTGTCTTTAGGTGAGGTGACAAAGTCTGATCCATACAAAAGAGGTGGAATTACAAACTTGCCCTAATTATTGATACTATTAAAGATTCTCTAGAAGTCACGAGAGCCTAACTTTTGTGATGAAATACGAGATTTCATGATCTGAGAATAGCGGGCTTTGGCGTTAGACAAAACCCTTTTACAATGGTTCCTAGCAGTAATAAACAGACGTCTGTTTTCTGGAGAATTGTTTTGCTGATGGATATGGAAGTAATGGTTTCGATTGGAAGTTACAGCAGCACAATGCAAGGAAAACAATGGAGAAGAGTGAGGCTTGACCTGGAATCGTCGAGAGGGAATAAAGGGTTCCATGCCAGCCTGAATCCACGAAGTTATGTAAGAAGCACATTTGTCAATAGGAAGACGAAAGATTTCTACCCAGATGCCATCACGAAGAAAATCACGGAAAGAGTCCCAGTCAGCTTTAAGGTAGTTATAAGATGTACGATGATAAGGGGATTCTGATGATAAAGAAGAATGAGAAATAGTTTTAGAGAGACCAAACCATGATCCGAGGCTGAGAAACTGAGCACTGACAAGGATCAGAAGCAAGACATAATTCGAGTAGAGAAGGTAAATGATTCGTTTTATCTGGAAA